ATTAGGGTTGATGGGTTCGACCCATATAGCTTTATCCACAGAGTGGGCTTTTAGCAGTTTTAACCATTTAAAACTAGGCCTTTACAGGTTGGGCCGAATTAACCATTTAATTAAATATCAATCCTCAGGCCCATTAGTGGGAAAATTAGGGCTGACTTTCAGCCTTGATCGAACGCTTAGATTCGGTCCAAACAATTTGAACCAATCTTGGTTCGATTGGGTCTAGGGTTTGATCTTTAATTAAATCTTTAATTCAATAAAATAATCTAAAATTAAATACTGATAAAAGAAAAAACAATAATCAGTCAACCAGGGCTGTTGGCACAAACCATCATGCAAAACAGAGGTTAGATCACAGTTTGCAGTTTCATAAACTGCAAATCGCAGATTACGATTTCCCATCTACGAAATCTCCTTCTCTATGCCGCCTTCTTCGATCCAAAATAAAATAAATAGAAAACCTAATTCTTATTAATATTTACATTAGATCGAATACCTATACATTCAGTCTAAAAATAAAAAAAAAATTATTTTACAGACCAAATGTAACAAAATAATCCATAATCTGCAAAAATGCAGGTTCCCTGCGCAAATCAAGAATTCGATCTCCTCTTGTACGAACAACCCATAAATCAAGAAAATTATAAAGAACAATTCTAAATAATAATCAGATTTATATAAAAATTAATTTCAGATTATTCGCCCTTAATTTTGGGAACAATTTTTCCAAAAACCCATATCTGCGCAAATTGGGTAGAACGCCTTTTGCCCATTTGCGCAGGTTCAGATCTGAAACAAATTGGTTCAAGATTTGAACCTGACTCTGATACCACTAAAGGGATGAGAGATCCATCGTATGGACGCCCAAGTCTTGTGGAATTAATGGGCGAATTTCAAAATTTTTTCTCTCCTTTCAACTAGGAATCGCATTCCCTATTTAGAAAATCATATTTTCAAGGATCAATCTTGAACCATAAACTGAACCAGATCTGAACCAAAAGGAGTATGAGAAGATTATACCTGATATGGAGAAACAATATCTCCTAACGAAGGTGTTCACGCCCAAGGAATGATCCAAAGATTGCTCCCACTGAAGATGGCGCAGTGCAGGATGGAGCAAAATCAGCAGTATTCTTCTCAAAGAATTCTGTCCTTTGCAAGAAACAACAGGATGGCACGTGAGCACAGCTATCCTATCAATTCTTTCTCAAAGAATTGATGTCAAGATCGAATCTTGACTTCTTCCACAACTGGAGATCGAACTGGCAAACTGGGCGGCAAGAACAAGGAGGCGGCAAGAGAGAATTCTGCAGGGTTGCTTAATTCTTTCTTCTGTAATTTCAGCACTTAAGAAGATTTGATTATCTAATGATTCTAAAGGCTGCCGCCCCCTCCTTCTTTTGTAAACCCGAAGGATCAGCTCATAATTGGATTAGGAGCTGCTTATCCAAATCATATTTGGATCAGACCTCTTTTTAGGTGATAAGGATAAACCCTTATCTTATCTGTAGATTAGATCAGCCTTCTCCTAATCTCATTAAGAGGTTTCTAGATCTGAATCATATTTAGATCTGAACTCTCTGAGTGGATAGGGTTAAGACCCTATTCTATCTGTTGATTCATCTCAGAAATCGCCCATATTTAACTTATTAAATAAGTCCAGCTCGAAATGGGCTTTAGGCCCATTAAGCTTATGTGCTCAGTTAACCTTCCTAACTGCTGTCCAGTTGGGCTTCCTTGTATGGCGTGGGACCCAAGCATTGATCTACACATCAKCCACATGGGTTCGGCCCAGCCTTTGTTACAAGGCCTGGCCGAATACACTGTTATGGACAGTGCACCCCCTGAAACCCATC